AACGCGAGAGGAGAGAATATAAAGGGCTCTGGGAACCGTATAAAAGTCGGGTAGAAGTCAAAGAATAGTCAGCAAGATGTAATTTAAAAAAGATTGTCGTACCCTTTTGTAGAGTGTAATATTAATTTCGACGGCCTGCGATGATCTTGAATTATTTGGGAACGAACTTTTACTTCCTAAATCTCCAATGAAATCTGAATAAATTTGCTTGATAAAGGGTAGCTGTAAATTCAAATTGTTATTGTAAATGTTTGAATTAAAATAGTTCTATAATTTCAATTTTTCTATAATTGATCTCTCTGTAGCTGGGTCAGTGAAAAGAAATTCGTTCTGCGCGCTTTATCGGCGTGCATGACTCAGCTGCACGTTGCAACTTTCGTTCTAAGCAATTTATTTTATGGAACACGCGGCATTCATGAAGCCATTCAACTGGTATTGCTATCAAGATAATATGAGCAGTTAATTGGCTACATTAACAATCTATCTATCCTGTTTATTTTTTCAGTAGCGTTCCAATTATAGAGTTCCTTTTTATCTAGTAAAATAAATAATGCCACGTTCAATCAATGAACAATAACTAAAAAATCATATTTGTGGATTTAACAGTTTCAACATTAACAGTTTTAACATTATTAAATCTGATTAAACGTTTCAACGATTTGAACGTCAGGTGTAAATTGCCATTATATGACTATTGTAATTACATATTATCCCACATTATCAATTGTACACCGCTGCAACTTTCATCAATTTTGACTCTAATTAAACGTTTCTGTAACTTCAACAAACTTGAATTTCTGCTGTCGGTTTCTAAATCTTTCTTTGTAACAAGCAACGTAAATAATATTATATTACAGCTGCTCGCTTCATTTATTAATACCACTAATTTCCATCGATCGACGATCAAATCGTCTCGTCAAATGCAAAGCCAGAAACTCAAAGGTTCTGATTACAAGCGACGACTGATTCGACTTCTATCGATCGAGTCGCATTCCTTGGCTTTGCACACCGCTTCTTCCCTCCTCTGTCGGATTCCGTAATCATCTACAATCCATGCGGCCAAACATTCTCATTGGAGATGGGATCGAGTTCAATGTGTATTTGCAAATTCAAGACAAGTTCGATATTTAAATTTCATTTCATGCGTTTCGAACTAAAGTAAAAATGTCTCACTGAATATATTTACAGTGCATTCATTTTATATAATTCATGTTCAATGTACAAGTTTATTTTATCAAGTTCAATCAGTATAAATTTCATGAAGTTATATATATATATATATATATAAGTCAAGTTCAACGTATTATAGTTTAATGTACAAGTACAAATTATGCTACGTATATGTACGTTTCGTTACAAGTTTAATGTATGCATTCCATTAACTTCAATGCATATATAACGCATTCGCTCTATCAAATTTAATATGTATCTATATTTTATGATTGTCGAATGCTACACGAAAGTAAAAATGATATATAACGAGTACATGTTTATAGTATAGTATAATTGTATTTTATAGTATAATTTAATACTATAAAATTATACTATACTGTACTATTACTATTTTATAGTATAATTTATTTTACACGTTTATAATATAATATAATTTTATATTAATTTTATATCATACTGTAAACGTGTATAATTATACTATACTATACTATTACTATTTTATAGTATAATATTATACTGTACTATTACTATTTTATAGTATAATTACTGTACTATACTTTACTATTTTATAGTATAATTACTATACTATACTTTACTATTTTATAGTATAATTTATTTTACACGTTTATAGTATAATATAATTTTATATTAATTTTATATTATACTGTTCTATTACTATTTTATAGTATAATACTATACTATACTATTACTATTTTATAGTATAATACTATACTATACTTTACTATTTTATAGTATAATACTATACTATACTTTACTATTTTATAGTATAATTTATTTTACATGTTTATAGTGTAATATAATTGTGTACTAATTTTATATTATAATGTAAACGTGTATAATTATACTTAGCTCTACTATTACTATTTTATAGTATAATATTATACTATACTATTACTATTTTGTAGTATAATTTATTTTACACGTTTATAGTATTATATAATTTTATATTACTAAATTATATTATTGTATAGTATAATTTATTCTACAGCGTATAGGAAAAAATAAGAACACTAAAAAGTCGTCCACACGTAACATTCGGAGATTCCCAGGATACCAAAAGATATATTGTTAATTATTTCTCGATATATTCTTCGTTATCAAGCGAAGACCGAAGTATCATACCTACTTGCAAAGTGGTCGACCCTATCCTTTGATTCTCGTATCAACATACGCTCATCCGCTCATAATTCTCGTCGATCGAAATCCCCTTCGTTCGGGCAAAACTCCCCTGGGATTCTGATAACACGTTTCGTGGCTCGATGCCGATCGTTTCGCGGTCTACGACCGGCGGTCTCGTAATTACACGACCGAATGAACATGCAAGAAGCCGGCAACGACAAGGTGCGGCGATTCTGTTCGGTATGGCGGACGAGGAAGAGAGGAGAGCAAACCAGCGAGAAAATAAAGTGCCCCTCGCGCTGGTCTCAGCCGATATTCATCAAAGTCAGTGATTCAATTAAGCGACTAGGATGATTTCTGGAGGGCATTTCTATGCTGCGCCCTATGGGGAATTGATGGTGACAGATTCCGAGGGAGTGGAACTCCAGCGACAACGGCGAAAGAAGCGAAATTCCGACGAGTCGAGATTCCTTCATGTAAACTAGATTTATGCGACTAGCAGACGATGAAATCTTGAACGAAGCAAAAATTTGTTCTGCTGTTGAGACGTTTTCAACGAACTGTACCGTCGTACCATGGTAATATGTATCAGATCACCAAAAAAGAATTTAAAACGTTCGATTTTATTTAGTTATTGCACGTTATTTGTGATAGAGTAACGAAGTTCAATTGAACCAGAAACATTACTCTAAATCCGAGTGATTTAAGTCTAAATTGTCGTGGTTCCCAATGATCCATTGAATGAATCCTACTTAAACGTCTTCACGCTTGGGACTCGTGGATCACGATGAAAAGTGGCATCCTGGAACAGCTTGCGATCGTTTAGATCATACATGTGGATATGTGGAATTTTAAGATACTATTTTGAATACGCTGGAATTAATAAAGCTGCGAATTTTTATGCATAGATCTGGAAATTTGTAAATGCAAAAATGCACGCAGTTTATGTTACATATAAACACGTATGCATCTACATATATCTATAAAATAGGCGAAATAATTTTTTTATTTGGATTCCATAAAAATATAACTAACATTAAATATTATAAAATATTTTGCTACATAGTGAAATGTTGTGATGTTTTGTTACATGTATCTTTTGTAGGAACTAACATGCAATTTTGCATTTATATTAAATTCTCAGGCGACGCATCAAAACAGAAATTCTTATGCAATTTAGTTAGCTGCCACGTATGCCGCGACAAACTAGTTGATACGTCAAAGACAAGGGGAGCGAAAACAGAAGCTGGCAGACAATGAAACACATAGAACTACATATAATTTCAAACAAATTCGATTATACAGTAGCTTAAATAGAATTCGTATATGTCTATATTTTCGAGCAATTAATAACATGTGACTAACAATTTGACTGTTATAGTCACGAAATTATTTATATAGTTTGAGAATTAGGAAAGGATCCTTTAATGTACAGACGATTGTATATAATGAATCAAACTAATATTGTAGTATAAAGAGGTAATGTATAGTATCGGTCAAAAATTTGGATACCTTTTTATTCTATTTTTAACTGGAAAGAAGAAAAGTTTGCCACTACCAGTGACAGACGAAAGAAAGTTCAAAATTAATATTTTCTACACGTACAAATAAAACTTGCGTCGAATGTTCCCTCCGTGTTTTCTCTAGGTGATATAAAATTCATTTCTCTTCGATTGTAATTCAGTTCTTCGTCAAAATCACCAAATTCTTCATTGTTTCATTTTTTAAACTTTCTTTTGACCATCGTTGTGACATGTCCAAGAAACAGACAAGCCTATCAATTATCTTTCGTATCGATTCGCTGATGTTCCATCTACTAATTTTCACATTGTTCACTTGCAGTAAAATGCAACAATATATCGCACTAATTTTTGCGCGATATTCTGAGAAGAATCCATAAATTCTCCGGATTGCGCGCGTTTAAATCGTACAGGGCAAGAAACTAAGGAGAACGAGGAAGAAGAAGGGGGCAAAAAAAGGTGCAGGGTGCAAGTTGTGCGTACGTAGATTGCAGGATGAGAGTGCTATCGTATTTTTCCGCCAAGCGTGGATAATGCGTGCGAGCATCCGGTTGACGGAACGCGTGTTACCGAACAATTTGCTTAATACCTTGGAAATAAATCGCGAACGTATTTCACGTGTGTGTGTGTGTGTGTGTGTGTGTGTGCGTCGCGATGCACGTCGCGTGTTCTCGTAAAGAAAACTTATAAAGAATTATACGTAACGAGGAAGCATTAAATATTTGTGACCCGTTACGTGCACGATATGTACGGTGATACATCGAGGAGTCATTAATTTTTAAAGCGTAATTGCACGCTGGTTCATGGGTTTCTAACTTCGATCGCTCGAAAGTTTTGGAGTGAGCGTTATGTTTGTTTCAAATCTGTGAGAATTGAGTAATAGTTTATAATAAAAAATCTGCAAAGGACTAACAACAATAATAATAATTCAATAAAATATAGTAATATAATAAAATATAGAAATAATACTTCAGTAAAATATAAATATAAAAAAAATGAAAGGCTTACGTATCTACTACAACATTGAATATTGAATATAATTGTATAATTATATATAAATATTGAGTAATATAAAGTGATACATTGTTCCTCTCGAATTTTATAAACAAGCAATCCCAGAGACATTAATTCTCGAATTGAAATGTTGAATTATCGTGACTGTTTCAGCGGAACTCGGGGATTACGATCCGAGACGACATTCAGTGGGCTACGTTACTGAATTTCGATTCCTGGCGAATCAAACTACGGAATTGGAAAATCGTATAGTGGAACTCCATAAAACTCTCGTGTATGTGTTGCATTTACATTTACATTGCCTATGTTATAAAATTTCTCCCCTCTGCAAGGGCGAAAAACTCTCGTTTTTTTTTCATTTATTTGGTAATTTGATGTAACAATGGGCTTCCTTTTTCAGAGGACAATTGCCCTCCGCCGCAGAGCTAAATTACTTGGACAAAGTGAAATGGCTGGAAATGTACGGGGTTGATTTGCATCCCGTGTTGGTAGGTATTTGTTGTTCGACCCAACAAAGATCGGTCGATACTGTAATTAAACGCGATAATCTGTCGAAACCGCTGTGTAATCTCGATCTTCGCAGGGCGAAGATAGCGTGGAGTATTTTCTGGGACTGACGCCAAGCGGGATAATTCTGTTACGCAACAAGACCAAAGTGGGAAATTACTATTGGCCTCGGATCAATAAGATCTACTACAAGGTAGGCAGACGTCATTTCTCGAGACGTCTACCATTCATTCTTCTCGTAAACAAGAATCACCGCGGAATATTATCAATGAAACACCGAGCTCTTACGTGAAAGATGTTTCTCGACAGAGAGCGAGTTAAAAGTAGTTTGATATTATTTCGTTTGTAATGAGAGAGATGCGTTGTGAAACGCCAAATGTAATTGGTTCGAAACCATTTTCTTTCTTCTTTCAGGGTAGATATTTCATGCTGAGAGTCAGCGAGAAGAACTCCGAGGAGAGAACGCACGGTTTCGAGACGCCGTCGAAGGGTGCCTGTAGACATCTATGGAAGTGTTGTCTGGAGCACCAAGCGTTCTTCCGGTTAATGGCCACCGGTCCGCCACCTTTGAGTCCTTACTCGCGTTTCCGCTCGTACAGCCCTCCGTCCGGCTCTGAGAAGCACACGGTAATCAGACGGAATCCACCGCCGATTTTCCAGAGGATACCCAGCCGCAGGGCGCAGCGACGCGTGGTCGAGGGTCAAGAAATGGTCGGCCCGTTCGTGGAAACGCCGGTGACGGTCAACTCGAACTCGGTCAACAGCAGCTCGGTCGGCGGCAACGTTTTGTGCAATACTCAAAACTCGAGACAGGCGAACAACTCAAGTCCAAGGAGCACCAGGAGCGCGCCGTGGACTCAGAGCCAACCTCGTGGCCTTTACACTTCGTCTAGTCCCCGGTCTGTCCGATCGGCGGGTGCGGCACCGGCAGTACGTTCTTCACATTTCTTCGTTTGTAGTATACGGACGTTTACGCACTCGTTGAAAAATAAAAATGAGCGCGTGAAATGAGCACGAAAAATATATGAAATGTCAAAAATAGTTTAGTCGTTCGTTTAGTTATTCGTTGTGATCTCGATTGAAAGAACGTAAGTGCATAATCTCTTGCGTTAACGCTCTATTTTCAATGAAATTTTAGCTCTTGAGCAGACTCCAACGACGGAGTAGCTCCGTAGAGAGCCAAAGTTCAGGAGACAGCCACAGTCGCAGTGGTCATCGTAGAAGGAGTCATAGTCATAGTCATCGAAGACATAGTCGTCACTCTGATTGTGAATCCGAGCTTTCGAGAGGTTCGGACACAAGGTCGGGTCATCGTAAGCACCGTAGAAAGCACAGAAGCTCTCGGTCATCCAGGTACAATTTTCATCTTATGTTACGAAATAAATAAAATAATAATAACACGCTTTGACGTCGTCGTTAAAGAGATATCTGAACTGAGTATGTTAAACAGCCTCGTTACGTTTGTTATCGTGTCCCGAGACAATTAAGCGTCCAAGATATGCGCGCTAGCTTTTAATTGGTAATTAATTGTCATAATAAAGGCCCCTTAGACGGTGATGTGAGAACGAAATAATTTGACAGAACGTCTTGGGCAAGTTCGTCGACCGTGTGGACGGGAAAGAAACCCTCGTATTCATTATACTCTCACGGTGGGGTACATAGAGCGCGTAAAGGTGATAATTATTTTAATGACGACGCGCCTGGGAAGTATCAACCTCGACCAACAAAATCTTCCCTAGTCATGTATTCACGTTTTCAATGAGAAATCACAAGCGGGACTTGGTTTATCACGGGGGACGCTTATTACAATATACATGAATATTTCGGAATTGGAATATGCTACATGTGCGCGTGTGAATCTTTTCAGACACGAGTTGGTAGATTCCGAGCCGCAATGGAGAGAAGCACAGAAGCGGAAGGGCGAAGGAGTTCAACGGGCTGTCGTAAGTTCGAATAAGATGTTAAATATCATTCCTTTCATTCGATAGTTTCGTCTTTAGTTCTCTTGCATAATGTTTTATACGACTCCATTTTTTCGTCGTGAAATATAGTAAAAAATGTTTCAATAGGTAAGCCATACGGAACCGAGAAGAAGGCACAGAAGTAGACACCGGAGTCCATCTCAGAAACAACCACTGCCAGACGAGCTTAGGAAGTACGTTTTCTTTATGAGATTGTAACACAATAGTGAAATGATTATTCTTCAGATATTTACTTTCGCGTATTTCTATGCTGTTTGTTCGATTTAAGTACAAAGTAACGCGTGAAAATATTGTTTAATTTGGAGGGGTAAGTATAATATAACATTAAATTTAAGTATTTTTTTTCACATAATTTTGTATAAAAATTTCAGCATTGATGTTTATAACGATATATAGTTATTATTAAATGCATGAAAACCATATGATCAAAAGTGAATCATTATCTACCTTGTCAGATCCAATATGCGTGTAATTTTATATTGTTGTATATATTTAGCGTTAAAAATTGTACAAAGTTTTTTGTATTATACTTCTTCCTCCAAATTAAACAACTATCCTACGTGTGTATATAAATCGGACAGCCTATGCGTTACCACACAACGTAGTTACTAATCTAAATTGCTGCTGGTGTGAATGAAATTTGAATAATTTATACAGAATTAATTTGCATGATGATTTATGATGGAAGAGAGTTTCGGAGTAAAAAGTAATGAATTTCTTTGTGCAACGCCGAACGTAACGTAACATTGAAACAATGGCTGATTTTCCAGACACTTGGAGTTTGGGCTAGTCGATACTTCTGGAATGAGCGATCAGCAACGACGAGAGATACCATATACGGTGGTTCAGTCGCAATCATCCGTACAACAATGTACACTACAATCTAGCAATTCTCGATTGGACGATGCAGACTCGTCGTCCCTACCTAGGTACGATGATCTCAAGGCGGCCTGCGACATCCACAACCATCCTCCGCAGCTGGAGGATGAGACGGGATCCGTAGTCATTGTTTAAAATTTTTCATTGCATGCGGTGTTTTTTTTTTTTCTTTTTTTTTTTTTCTTTTTTAATTTATTCGGAGCATGTACGTGATCTACTTTAAGCATGGCCCCTATTATTTATTTGAAGCATGACAGGTTCTTTAATAAATCGATGAGATATTAACAGCTTGTCGCACCTGTTTATTTATTTCCTGGCTGGCACCTGTACTGATGCTTTTCACTGTTCCATGAACGTACAGTTCCTGTTTCATGGAAGTATATTCTAGAAACAATTGTAGCATTTGTTCATGTGTGTGTGTTGTCTTTTGAAACGTTTTGTGTATTCTTTATGTAATGGTTTAGTGCATCGTGTTAATCGTTAAGTAAATGTGATCGGTATATGGGAGTGTTGAAATTCTAGTAGATGATCAGTTGTCAGCGATCCAGATCGAGATTTTCCTCATTGTGCCAGTCTCGTATCCCTAAATCCTTCTTTAGATAGCCGGTAATGTTATGATTAAAATACTTGTAGACCTCTAAGTACATTGGCGCACATAAGTGATCGACGAATGGAGAAATTGTTGTAACGTAAAACTTTTTTTAGTGTCTGTAATGTGAATAAAAATGTGTATCGCTAAGGAATGCAATGTGGCTCGTAGCATCTATTAACCATGTTATGAACGTTTGGTAAACTAAAACGTATTACATATGCATCGATGCCGTAATGGTGCCCGATCAGGGATGTGCTTGAATGTTGCCGTGATGTCCCAAGATTGTCAAGGAATCACTTTCAGAACGATCGGATCCGTTGGCAAAAGAAACAGAAGAATGATACAACATAGTCGCGACGGAAGTTATAATTTGCCGCCGACCAGGCCGAGTCAAATCGAGACAAAATACTACGATGGTAATAGGAGCGAGTGCAATATGAGGAAGGACTTTTATTATACTCGTAACAACAGAATATTGATAGGAAGTAACGTGGACAGTGGGCTCGGGGAAAGTACACCGCAAGAGTTTTCAAGTTGCTGCTCAAGCTCTGCCGACAGCGCTAAGCCTACTCGGGTAGTACGTATATCTTTTCGCTTGCTCGTTTATAACAACGTTATTTGTTCGTTTATCGATTTTGGTTTCAAGTGAAACTCATTATTTTCTACGTAGTTCATATTTTCTCTAAAATCAAGTGATTTCATTTCACTGTCTGTTTCATTCTGGCAAAATATTGCCAGAAAATAATGGGTAACACTTTTGCTTCAAGTAGTCTAAGCTTTCTGCTTTTAAGAAAGAAAAAAAGAGGATGATCGTATATTGAAATTATAGATAAATTGTCTTTATTTAAAGTTGCATTTGTCATACGAATATCTTTTAGACACACTAAGCGCTTTTTACAAATACATATGGTTAAGGCTTCCTATTTCCTTTTCTACTAGCAACAGTATTCTCTTACGTCATTTTTCCTTCCTCCAGATCGAAGAAAAATTGATTCGATGAAATGTTGTTGCTAGAACGTAGCGTTGTATCGTACACAATCTCTTGCGTAGTAAATTAGTAAAATAGTTTTGTTTGGTATAGCCGCAAATGCAATTAGGGGGAGAGGTACGCTATGAACTGTCTTCAAATCAAGAAATCTACCCTCCTGTTGATTCTACTCTGGATGCTGTTCTTCAGCCCATTATATCGTAAGTGCTTCTTTTCATTGCTTTGTGCTTCCCTCCTACAATAATATCTAGTAAAAAATTAAAATTAAGTTTGGCTTTATTAATAACTAGTGCACTACATGCTGCTGTTACACATATGCGCACAGTTTCACTTTCCAAAGAGTATTGATATTTTAAATATTTTAAAATTTAGTATACCACATTTTCATATTTTTACGTATAATATATAAATGGTTTTACTTTAACATTTATTTTTACACTGAATATTTGCTTATACCATGAAACATTTTGTTTTGTATTGTTACAGAACTTTAACCAGGAGGCAACGGAACTGCCCGAAATGAGCATGAAGCTTTAAATAAATACAAAATAGACATTTATGCACATATTGTATATTTAAGAAAGTTTTTATACCTCATTCAAATTAAATATCTATAATCCCATCAGTCATTAAATCTTATAAAATAGAAGAACATAAACAATGAATTAAATGCGCAGCACTTTTATTCCTTGATTCAAGAAGTGTCTCTAATCTTATCTAGTCCTTATTTAGTTCTCTTTAGATGCCATGTGCCTCATTAAGTTTCCTATAAACTTTTCCATCTTCTTTAAATCCTGTGCTATCTCCGTTCTGTACTGTAGACACTACGAAAAAATGAAAAATGTATTATTTAAATAGATTCTTAAGATTTGCAAGGTAAGTTGTATAAGAGTAGAGCTTACCGTTCGATTATCTGTAAGTTTTAGACATAGAACACCTTTATTATGGCAATATTTCATTGTATACCGAGCCTAGAGCAACAAAATAATAAATTATAAACTTGATGATTATTAAACTATTTATAAGTATAATCAGCCTTTATAAATATTATTTATTTCACCTGATCTAATGTTGAAATAAATGAATATTTTGTATAAAATATATCTGTATATTTTGTATACAACATGTATTTTTAATACATGGAATATTCACAATCTAGAAATTTGATGAGATAGTACTTTTATAGTTAAAAAAATTGTTTAAATTGTACAGTTTATTTTTCAATGTGACGTGTCATGCTGTCACATCAGTCACAGTTTTTATGTTCTATAATTTACACGTTTCCTAATCAATATTTTATGTTATTCAATGGAATACGACTTTGCGCATACTTTGGGCTGTAAAAATGTATAAATTAACATTAACTTAATTAAAAACAAACCTTCATTGGGTCTTGAAGATATAACCTCTCAGCACCCTTTTCGAACTCTTCCCACGAATTTAAATACGTCATTTTTATTTGTAACGAGGGAAAAATAATATAGATAAAATTATACTACGTTAATTTTTCTACTAAAAATGTAGCTTTATATTCAACGCATCGCCAGAAAGAACGTTGTTTATTAAAAAACACAAGAAAACAACATAGACAGATGTCTCGTTGGAACCGGAATGGGAGAGAGGTTAAAATGAAAAAAAAAAGATTGTTTTCGTGGCGGACTGACGACAAGTTAGTATACTGCGCATTGGCTATGCGCAACTGAATAGGATCATTGACTAAACATAGAATAGATTGGACATGAAATGGGATTTCGTGTCCTAGAATCTGAAATACCAACCAAGAAAAAAATCATTGGTTTTGTTAGCGCACTTCACTTAAACAATGATGAATTGGGCAACTATAAATAAAATAATACAAGCATAGACGAAAAGTGTAGAAGAAATTAACCTCGTTTAATTATTACAAACAGGCTAAATAATTGTCGAATAGTTTTTAGAAATATATAAAGTAATTTAATTGTCATTAATAAATTACTGAAACTATGAAATAATGTTTGAAAATATGAAATAACTAAATTATTGATTTAATTACATGAATAGTCAAAATTATTGATTAAAGTATATAAAAATATTATGAAAACGTAGTTTGTCACTTAGCGATTATAGAATATGCTTATGTTTTTTATAATTTATAATTAAATAATTAATTAATGATTATTTTTTATTATTAATATTATTGTCGATTATGTAAAAATATGAATAATTATTTATCATAAGTTGTATTTATATTGATATTTGAATTTGTGACGTACTTCCCCCTATGCGCAAGCATAGATGCGCAGACTTTGAAATTATTGTAACAGTTTTACAAGTTCGCGCGGCGCGGATTGTATAAATAGTTTCGTCATAAATTCTTTGTGATTTATGTGAATTTAGTGATGAAGCGCTTCAAAGAAGAAAAATTAGCTGCCATACCATAAAATTAGCTGCTGGCTTCGTACTTGTGGAAAAACAACTTGGGTAAATTAGGTAAACATTAACTTTTATAACAAAAAGCTAGAGCCTCTGGTTCAAACAAGCGACAGTGACGCTTCAGCCGTTAGAAATTTGAATTTGAATACAACATTGATTTAATTTGTAATTTACAAGAAGAAAACATATTGATTTGCAATTATTTTATTTGATCACTCAGTGCAAATAAATAATACAAAATAAATGTTATAACATAAAATTCAACTTTTAAAAAGACACACTGTTAAAGTTTAAATATTCATATAAGCGTTTTCACATATGCAATTAAACATGTTTCAATATGTTTAAACTGAACACTTGATGTAGTGAAATTATCTTTAAATGAATAACAATTATTATATTAACCTTCGTAACGCGAATTTTGTTTAAAAGAGGTAGATGGAATGTTGAAGTAGACTTACATTTGATGCACTGACAATAATTTAAATAAAAAGCTGTCTTGATCTGAATTGTCATTGACATTTAACTTTAAACAAGTTCTTTTAAACTATTATTAATAAAAGCTTGAATTGAAAAAGAATTCATTTTGTACAATGTGATGTAGAATGTCATACATAGATTCACATTATTATTACATGTTATTATATGCTTTTCAGCAAAAATAGCTGCTAGACTAAGATTTGTATCTTCTAATACACATATTAAAGTATCCAATTATAAGTACAGAGTAATTGTTTTGTACTTTGATTAATAAAATACTTAGAGCTAGATTAATTTATTTACAGCTATAAAAAATAAAAATTCGTTAATATTCGATTTGACTATTAAAAATTTATGTCCATAGTGCTGTTGGCATTATTCCTTCTACTGTGCTAGCAGCTGGTTTCAGATCTTCATTAGTTAAGAAGTTTAATGGCATATTTACTAAATGACCCTAAAATAAAATTGAAAATGAGAACATAAAATTTATTAAAGTAATAGTTATTATTATTTCTTACATTATTCATACCTTAATTTGTTCAACTTCTTCTTGGGCCAAAAGTGGATTTGACGTAGAAAGTGGCTCTTCACTTTGATACTGCTTTAACATGGAGAAGTTAACAACTTTATCTGTCGGGATAACACGAAATACTGTTTCATAAATTTCCGTGTTTCGATTACTCCTCGCACACCACACATCTCTGTAGAATGATTTTTTAATTATATCAGTTATATCTATGTCTTCATTTGTTTTAAATAATCCCAAATGCTCGGAAATTAATTGCTTTCGTAATGACCCTGCAAACTTGCCACAAGGAAATGGTATATCATTCATTCTTCCTTCTTCGAATTCTTGATCCTAAATTATGAAATAATTAATACTGAGATAATCTGAATTTATATATTTGACTCAGTAAGTTATATTTACATGAATTATTAGTGCAATTTCACTGTCCCTTGTTGCTATCATGCTTCTATCATTAATATTGGCAGAACCACAGATGACAGTACTGTCATCTACAATTAATAGCTTGCTGTGAACATAAATTAATTCCGTCACTAGTGTACCGTTTAACATTGCATGAGTCCTTAAACCATGGAACGTAATGTACTCGCTAGGGTCTTCTATTCCTGCTTCAATTAGTCGATTTAAGATAGCATCTTTACCCCTGTTTTTATAATTTGAACGTTTACAACTTTTAAATTCATACATTTTTCGTTCTTAGAAGAGATTTCACAATAGAATTTTCACCTTGATATAGAAGCATAATTCCAATGTGTAATAGCGCGCAAGGCAGTACCAGTTGGTCCTCCAACCTCACCTTCGAAACCTGGTAGTAAAGGCATTATCACGAATACTCTGAATACTGCACCTTCTTTGTGTGCTCTTAAAATGCGCTTTAATAATGTTTCTCCAATACGATTTTTTACTACAGAGCGTTGCATGGATGCAAGCGTTATGAAAAATTGGTTTTCTATGTATATGTATCTTAAATAGAAAAAAAGATCAATAATAGTAGGGCAATAGTCGCTTTAATATTTCTAAAAATTAATTTTACCTTTCTGCTTTACTAATAGCCTCGATATAAGCCTCTTGTATACTTTGCTCGACTGTTTCCGAATCGAGAAAACCAGCCGACCAAGAACTAACTGATCTTAATACTTGACAATTGACATTGTGAATAGAAGATCTCTCAATAAATGGAATAAAATTGTTGCAATTATGGTATGATTTTGGAAGCAAAAATGGATAACATGAATTTAATTTTGCTTTTTCCATCTACAAGTATGATTTACATAAATGTTACTTAATCGCGCTGAATTATTTACAGAATTAAATATAATATATTACAGAATTAAAAAGCACTTGCCTTAATCGCATTCCAACGTTGAATAAAATGTCTAGCAATGTCTCTTGCTGTTGCACCTTGTACCATAACTCCAATATCATGCCATGGCATTCTGGGAGTGTTGCTCCTGTCTACTAGATCTTGATAAGGCTTCTCAAGATCATTAAAGTCTTTGACAATAAAATTTACATAGTCTTTTCCCAACCATAATTTAGCTACACCTGGATATTCTGATGATTCATCTTCGTTATATACGAGTGATTGACTAGTATCAACTGGAGTTTGCAGCATATAGCTGAAATATCAATGATATTCTTTAATTAATATAAAAATATTTTTAGTTTTTATTAAATATCTTCTTGAAATATAAACTTACGTATCTGGAACATTTTCCTCATCGCTACTTTCTTCGTGTGGATTATATACCATGTTAATTAATTCTTCTCTTTTTAACATGATATTACGTTTCATTCTATCCATGGTATTTTTTGCCATCCCAAATAGATTTTTACGCTCTGTATTCGGTGTATCACATTTCATAGTGTCGCTTTCTTCTATTGGTTGCATTAGCAATAAATCACTAGCATTCAATTGTGATAATGCTGAAAATGGTGACACCGATGTCTTCTTGCTCACTACTGGCCTAAAACGGAGAGAAAGTAAAATAAAATAAACTGCAAAAAATTTGCAATATAGAATTTATCGAAAATAATAATAAAAGTAAATAAAACTTACACTACAGGTATAGATTTTGTAGTAGCCATTACAACTGTATTAGTTGCAATAGCCAATGGTAACAAAACGTGCTTTTTATTTATGGCGACACTTACTTTTTTAGTGCTGGTATTGGTAAATCTACCTTTAGATGGAATATAAATGCTGGAATGTTGAGTGCTACCTGTAATCTCAAATGCAATTAGTAAGGATGATTAATAAATTGATTTAATTTAAACGTAAATTGATTTAAACATCACATACCCAAATCTATTAATTTGTGCTCGTTATTATCCCATCGACCATAACATAGATCAATTCCACCAAGAAAGGCAATATTTTGATCAACAACTACAATTTTTTCGTGGTGTGCCCAGAGAAATACTCCTACTCTTGCATGATCTGGATGACGTAATACTTTTATATTTTCGGGACATTTTTCAACTAGCCGTTGCTTGCTATAGAAGCTGTTTATGCCCAGTGCAACTTCTACTTCTTTATAGATCATTATGAACACTCTGACACCTTCATACTAAGCAAAAGATTAATTATTGTAAATATGTATGGTTTTCTTAAATTTTTAACAATATTTTACGTTGTATTCAATGTTATATTAGCCTTACCAAGAATCCTCAACTACTGTCAGCATTAACAGAGCAAAGTCTTATTAAAAATACTAAAAGGAATAATTAATAAAAATAAAATTTTTAATAACACACTTACTGCTTTTCTCTCTAAAATTTTATCTAATCGCCAATAATCACTAGAAATAGCTGGCCTTTTCATATAAATCTCAGGTGATAACCACCAGTCTGCAATAAAAATTTCTTCTTTCGCATTTTCTAATGCATCTGCAACAGCAGACATATAACTTGATCCATCTACAAACCATGCGGCTGGTATAGGGGAACGATAAGGTGCAAATGAATTATGTGGATTTGATTGTATAAAATCTCGACCTATAATAACATGACTCAATAATTTAAGCTTTAAAGTTTTCAGAGAGATTTTGCACTAATTAAAGTACTCACCTTCTTTGCTACTAACTTCTTGTATGAACTCCATCCATTCTTTAGCCTTTCTTCTTGTCCCACATTTAATTACTATGTGCCTGCTAAGATTCACTATTTGTATGCCATTTCTTAATCCTGTTGTATACAGACCAAAACTGATTCCAAAACCATTATCCATTAGAATCACAGACTTTATGCTACCATTTTTCGGTTTCATATAGGCAACAAATGTATCTTTAACAACGAGATGTCGAGAATGCCATTTTCCACATAGAGATGTGCAAAAATGATTACATCTAATACAACACATACTTTCGACAAGACCACAAAAATTACATCTGCCTTTTGCACCTGATCCAGTTCGTTTTAAAATAATTCCTTCTTTGCCTTTCATTCCTAACTCTTCTATAAATGACAAGTGTGAGATTTCTAAAAAATTAATCTGAAAATGTTTTATATCTTAGTTGGTAAACATTACATGCACAAATATTATTATTAACTTACTGTTTCTGGATGGTGCAAGTAGATTTTTATTTTTAATAAATTAGTGAAATACTTTTCTAATTCTTTCTTCCTATGCTCTAATTGTTCATAAGGTACTAAAACATCTGGTCTATTTGGAAATCTGAAAAAAGAAATAGTATTTTTAATCTTTTGGTTGTGCATAGTAAATGAATGAATATTGTACCTTGGCAGTGCACCTCTACAACTTTTGCCTTCTTTTGCATCTCCTAAGCTTTTCAGACTGGTCCTTCTTTCTTTGTGACTTTTAGTTGGAAAAGGTATATTTAAACTGGCTCTATATATCTTCAATTGATTATGCAAATATTGGATATCTTTGTATCGTTTCTTAATTGTCCAAGTAAATGGGCCATGCCTAAATTCAATAGTGTACAAGTTTGGATTCAATGGATGTGTTGTTACGCTACGCTCATTGTCTACAATGTTTACATGTACTTCTTCACCAGGAATAAAAACATTACGATATTGGCTTTTAAAGTTTTTTGGTAAATCATGTATTGCGGAGAAAGGTATCAAACCAAGACAGTCTAGTATAAACAAAGAAAAACAGCATGCATTTTATTTTAGATCATTACATCAACATAATTGAGATGTTATTTTTAAAGAAAATTAACACAACACAGAAATAACAAACTAAAGACATAAATTTACCTTTATTATCAATATCTTCGCTAGAACTAATATTTTCATTTTCATTTAATGAATCAGGTACACCCAGTGCATCATCATACTCAGGATCATGAGGAACATAATTGTCAGTTTTTTCATCATTTGAAATGCTATCAGACATTGTTAGCAATATCTTAGAAAATTATGAATAAACATATGTGGTCAAATCAAATTAGTTTCACAGCACACTTTTCATTGCTTTCAACTTATACTGATTTTTATTTATAATACAATCTTATTCCCTCAAAATTTTTAATAAATTTTTTATTTGTATATAAATTTGTTAATTAGAAAGAGGAGCACCACACACACACACACAATAGAAATTATTCGAGATTAGAAAACTGACGAAAACGTACATCATTAATACATAGATAAGTAAATAGCTAGGTAGTACTGTAGAACAAAAGGCGCATGACAAAGAACTATGTATTTTCTTGATTAAGAAAATGATCTAATGCACACGGAATTATCAATTCGAGTTAGATTCGATTCACAGAAATGAGACCAAAGTGGATTGTCACACTTTTTTTCATCACAGGTTGATCAATATTTATCTGCCGATTATAATCTTTATACATTACATATAAAATTATTTAGTTGTATTTAATTAAAATACGAACTCAAAGTTAGAGCAGAAATTCTGGAAAGAATACAGTTGATTTGTGTCTTAGAAGTTACATGTCATTCTATTAAGGTTATAAATATTAATGTTCTTTCTATGCACAATTTTAAGACAATGAATTCACATGGTGTTGTAAGTGTTTCATATACACTTCTCAGATAATTCCATTATCGTAAGAAGTATCAATCATAATCAATTACATGTGTGATTTCATCGTTGTTCATTGTGTGACAACTTAAGCCACTCATGTTTGCTGACTATCATAGATCGAATACCTCGTCTGTAGATTGGAATTCAATGATCGGAATTTACGAACTATCGGTATAGTAGATTTTGAAATATTAGTGGAAAATTGTTCTTTTTTTTTTCTATTTAAACTTCACGTATTCTAGGATTGAAAAGTGTTCAAAAATTTTTTCGAGTTAAGAAATTTCATATTTTTTCTTTTTGTTATGTCCAAATGATTTATGCACGATCATTCTATTTTATCAACAACAATAAAGATTCCATATTTCCTCCATTGATAAATATAAAACGTAGATCAAATCCTCTGTGATATGAAATAAAAATTATTTACACTTGTATACTTGGATTTGTATACACTTTTGTTTTCACGTGCGAATAATCTGAAGATTTAATGAAAATTGAGGATATGTTATGGCTAGTCCATTGACGATTATACTTACCTACTATTCGTCATAGATAATTAGATAAATTATTAATTAGATAAGTAGATAAATTATTTTTCACAGACAACAGGCAACAAGATTTAATAATAAAAATAAAGATTTGTAAAAGATACAGATTTATTTATCAGTATTAATGAATATACTAATTACTTGTTCATTCATTATATTTTGAGTTCAAAATTAAATAAAAAAATCGTAAGTAGATTTTTAAAACATCGTCAAAGCTTATCCTTGAATAGTAACAAATAACTATTACCATTTCCTAGGAATTATTTAATGCATAGCTTATCAATTATCAGTGATATCTTATCAATAACTTCCTGTCATTGATATTTATCAACACGAAGAAATTAATGAGATATAGATATTTGTGCAAAATATGTATCAAATATGATCTCCTCTTACCTACGTGTAATATAGCATATTAATCAATCAATTAAAACGATTATATAGATACGTGCAATTTCAAAACTGGAATCATAATTATGATAATTATATACAGGGTTTTGGTACGGACTAAACATTTAAGAAAAACGTTCAAAAGAAGTTTTTAATCTAATGAAATCGCGTATAAAACTTCAGTTTGAGATATTATTGATATTGCAAAAACATTTGCCATACAACGATAACCAGTTATATTGCTGTCCGAACAATTGAGTTTAATGTATGCGTGCCTTTCATATCAGGCACAAAGAAAAGTAGAACGCTTTATAAAAGGGTTTGATGTAACCTCATTTTCCGTTAATACTACGCACTCTATGCGTTTGTAACCCGAAAACTCGATATTTCTTATATTACGGAGTGTACGGAGGAAGCGCGCAGCCGTATGATTAGGAAGGGTAATTGTTCAGTTTTGCGATCTACTTTCGAATTGGAACGATCGATTTTATTCCTGTATTAGAATGTCAAGGGAAAGCGATTCAATGCAGTACAACGATAATTCAGGAGAAGTGGTATCCTTTATTTCTTCTTTTTTTTTTTTCTTGCATTAATTAACGTTAACGTTGCTTGCATGCTACCCGTTTTATCGAATTATAGTAAAATCTTCAATATGCTCGTATATTATTCTGTTCATATGATTGTGTCTCTTCATTAATTTGGACTGCAGAAAATTTTGTTACAAATACAATTTATGAATCGATCATGAGAACAAAATTAATTTGGTTGTAACCTGAAATGAATTATTATAATTGTTGCAGTCAAATTTGCATGAAATTCCAGTTATCTGTAAAGGAAAAATCGCAAAATTAATTGAGCATGATGAATGAAAAGATACAATCAGCTGCTTAATCAGTTCTATTTGGATTAAATAAATTTGTTAATAATAACAAAAATCTAATATTATTTATTTAAAGGAAAGTTATATTAGATTATATCCAAATGTTATAGGAATTAAAAAATTTCTAATTATTATGATTAAAAAAATGATTAAAAGGCATGATTAGTAATAAGCAAGTTATACATTTGATTATTATTAATTCATATTCTCGAGCGTCTTAATTCTATTTGAATTAATAATCTTATTCCTAATTTAAAAAAATTTAATATTCCAACATTCTTATTATTTATGAATATAAATCTATTGCCGGATGTCATGTAGATCATTGATCAAATACACTTTTGTAAATCACTGAACTTGATTTTAGACAATTAATCAAGGATTTGTAACGAAATATCATGCCCCAAATAAAGCAATTTTTAATGACAGTTTAGTTTGTGCAATAACTGATTTTAAAATAATAAGAGATGAAAATGTTCGAGCAAGATGCTTTAGAATTGCTACAACTGTAATTAAGATTGCAAGATGTCTGTTTTTATTGGTATTTTATGGGTAATATAAATGTAAAATTATATACAATAAATTGAGTTATCCGTGTCGATAGATCAAGGCATCCCTGGACGAGATTCTAGATCACTTATTATATTGCCCATTCAATCGATTAATTGTGTCACATTTTATAAGAACAAAATGTAAGGAGATATTGCAAATATTTCTTTGATGAATTTGAATGAACGGTAAAAATTCATTTTACGGTATTAATTGCACTGATATTATTTGCCAACGATTTAATCGGATAATATAAATTTTGTGTTGATCGAAAAAGAAATTCTATGCGAAAATAAATGAAACTTTAATTGGCAAAGTTAATACCTTTTAAACGGTGTATTTTATTTTTAAAATGATTGTGTGATGGAATTTTCATAAAGAAGCAAGTGTAGTTTATTCGCAGTTGTATAAAATATACAGAATACAACGTTTTAAGACTTTTAGTTATTTTTTCAAGTGACAATCGAGATGTCTTTTACATTACGAATGAACAAGATTAATATTTTTTAAGAAATCGATTTTATTCGTTGTCACTTTTTTTTAATTGTGCAACAAACTGCTGTCATTAAAGTATCTTCTATCTTACTCCATTTTACTCTACAAGATTTAGTCTTCGATACCCTCGCTCTGTTTCACCGCATAATTGTGAACAGATCGCGTAAAAAAAGATTGCAGAAAGATCACAGAAAATGTAACTGTGAATCATGTAAAAAGAGACTTTCAGATGTACACATACATCTTCGTACCAAAGATACTTTTAACCCCGCGTTAAAAATTAAACGAAGGTTGGTACAAAAATTAATATATCCTTTCAATTTCGTTCTCTCTCGAACGCAAGAGAAATCGTATTTGCTTCGAGATTCGATCCTTGAAGTCGCCCGGTCGAAGCAACTTTTAATTTCGTCCCCGTTTCGCGGTTTCGGCTCGGTTCGATAATCCAAATATACGCAGCGCAGCAGGTAAATAAATATACGTGCTCTCGGAACGCGAGAAGTCACGCATATCAAAATATCTATCAGTCAGTAAGAGGTACGATTGCGACTTGAGCAGGAGGGGAGGCTTTCGTGGTACCAGTAGCCGGAGGTAGGGGCAGCATGTAGGACGCAGAGTACGCTTGGGTGGTGTGGCGATGACGGTGGTGGTAGTGGTAGTGGTGGTGGTGGTGGTGGCGGCGGTGGCAGTGGTGGTGGCGTGGAGTCGGGCGAAAGGGAAAATGATCGAGCGAACACTTTTTTTCTCCCCCATTTAAAGGCAGGTTTTTTGACACGGCGGTCGTTCGATCGACTTCCATTTGTCTCCGAGCATTCCGTCGATTAACGTCCTGGAACGTGCAGAGTGCGAATATCTCGCGAAGATGCGCGTCGATCGTTACCACCTGACCTGATCGAGTCGCGTGTACCGTGTATAACAACACTTGGATCCTATCGTATATTCTTCAGTGATTTCCGAGAAACTCTCCCCGTGTCTGAACGTCGCCGAATTGACGCAATCGACGAATCGAGTCGATCGTTCTCCTGATACACGTATTTGACGAACCTTGTGATCCTTGTGATTGATTCTGATAACCAGTGCCCGCTTCGATTGACTTACTCTGGGGGTGTAGGAGGAACCACGGACAAGCCAGGTGAATTGGAAATGAAACATTGGATCGGACGCGTCTAAGAAGTTGCAAGGTGAGTGGAATTCAGGCTCTTTTGTCTTGCCATGGGAAAACCATGAGTCGTCCAGTGAAACGAAACCTGGCAAGGTCGTCTCGTGTTGAAACAGAGGAAAGAAAGATACGTTTCCTAAATTGTTATTCTATTTCTCTTTCTTTCTTGATTTGTTATCGTTGCCCGATGCAATCAGTTCTCAAGATCGACGAACGATAACAAGGAGCGTGGAACGATCGTCCTTAAACTAGTTGTGCAATCGCTGTGTTGGACGTGTTTGATCAGGTCGTTCAGAAATACTCGTCTTGGTGTTCGACGTTAATAACGCGAAGTTAAGATAATTTTCATCGGTCAAGAAGTCGTGGCTCGTGTGGAGGAAGAATGTATTGTTGATATATATCGAGAAGTAGTACTTCTGCGAGCAGTCGTAACAGAGAAATGCACGGATAACCCGTTCGAATCACGGTTGGTTAATAGAAAAAAGTTAGTTCCGTGATCCGGGAACCGGCTAGAGTTGCAGAATATTAACCGAGCGGCCGCGGAATTAACTGACCGTTGCTTGTAACTTGGTAGTCCACTTTCACGCGCGTGAACTTCCAGATGTTCCCGGCGTTTCTTACATAAAACCCGATTGCCCGAGCGGACCGGGCCGAAATAATCTTTTCTCTGTGACGGGGATCGGTGGCCCGTTTCCTCGAGCACGTCACGGAAATTTAAATCGGACAACAACGCTGAAAATTGCCCTCGGGATCAGTGGTGCGTGAGCAACGTGACTCCGAGAAATTTCTTTCCTTACTTCGCCATTTCTCTATCTCTTTTTGAATAATTGCAAATAAATATCTCTTGTACATACATCGAAGTTAAGAGAAACGCACCCTCGGCTGTGAAATATAATAACGGTTCGCGTTTAGTTCGGAGTTAATTTTATTGAAATAAATTGTTCTATTTAAAAATAAACAATCGGTCCTTTTACAAAAATTCTACTTTCCATCGAGGATATAATTCTCTACGGAATATGCTTTACAGTTGCGGGCACAACCTGATACGTGCAGTTGGTACATAACGTATCGTGGAGAATTTACTTTCGACTGGCGCGTAACCGATTCGTGCGCACGAACGATCGTGAAAAGGAACGTTGGAACACTGTTCTCTCGAGAACGTTTTTAGTTAACGGAGATCGCAGTATATTACGAATGAATTAACGAATTTCTTTTCTTCTTTCTTTTCAACATCTTGTCGCATCTGATTGTCGACAAAAATATTAACTTATCAAATCAAATTTAACCCTTCGATTCGATTTACCAGAGCAATTTTGATTGGTATGTATTATTGCATAACGTTGGCACATTTGGAGGTGAAAAATGAATAAGAAGAAGTTGCGCGGTCCTTGATCTTGATCTTGAGAGTCGATCTTGATCATGCTCCTCTCCTTTTCTTCGCGCCAACGGAGGAAAAGGGATCGAGAGTGCTCACGATCATCACGACTAGCCGCGTACTTGAGACGACCTCGTTAGATCTGCCGTTTGTCAAATCCTCCACATCTGAAAACCGGTTTTTTATTCACTTAATTTGGACGAGACAAAACACACGCTTAAAGCAGCAGTGACCTTTGCAATTAGCGAGGCATTTTCCTTTTACTAACTTTTCTAGTTGAATTCTACGATTCTATTTAAATAATTGAGAGTTCAGTTCTATGTAACGATTTAATAACTGTAAAGAATGTTCTTCGCAGGGAATTATGCCGTTTATAATGTAACGAATGGAAGAGTAAGAGAATGAAACGAGGAATGTCACAAAACAGCTTCATTAAGAAAATTATGTTCTTTTCTAGTGGATTAAAGTAATACTGATTCTACTTTTAAATCTTCTAGAATTTCTCTGTTCCTCTAATAACAGGAATAAATATTTAATATATTAACGAATACATGGAGCAATAATCTCTCGAACATCACGATGTCCGAATATTAATAAAAACTACTCTGCGTAAACGAGAATTAGAAATTTGAATCTGTATCTCTCAGAATATCGCGGAATAACGATCGGCGGTATTATTAAATGACAGCGTGTCAGTTGTTATTTTTAATGGAATAAATAGAGAGGCGAAGGCGTTCTGGTACAACGTTGCGAGATAAAAATAATGCTCCGATCGATCTTTTTGATATAGAAACAAAGGGGATAATTGCGTATTCATCCTTGACAATGTAAAAATAATCCAAGCCGAAACAAGACAGAATGATATAATTTGATATCAGCGATGATTTTTCGACTCGATACACGAAAAATCATCGAGGATCTCTTCCAACGCGATCCTTATTGTTAGTGGGTGTTCTCCGACGTTATGGTACAGTTGTTGAGAATTATACGCGCCGGTTAATAGGCCGAGAATTATATACGAGTAAAAGTAGACTTACAATTAAACGTGGAAGGTGGTGCTCGACTTTCACACGCATGTATTGTAAGATCTCAGGTGTATAGGGAGATCCGAAAATATATTGCAGATTTGTGTAACAGCATATAAGGAAATATTATTATAAATAATAGATCAACTCATTAAGGACCAAGCCGTGAAATAACGTTCAAGAATTATGTAAACGTAATATCAGTCCATAAGTAACGTGATTGTTGGTTTTTAAGCATTAAAAAATGATTCTGGTAGTCATAGGAGTCACAAAAATTTAGACTTTACACCGTTTAATTTCGATTATTACTTCAAATTCGATTTAACTTTCCTCAGGGTATAATATATAAAATAAAATTAAGTGCCTTAATATACATACCCTTGTACTATTTTTGTATTATAGTCATTTGTGACCCCATGATACCACTTGAGAAATAAGCTTTATTAATATTAAAATCGATACGAATGCGTTGTTAAAAAAAAAAAATAAAAAAAAACAAGAAGAAAATGTAACTAAAGTATCTCACGTGTTGTTTTGCAGAATGGTGAGGAGATTTTCGTGGTGCACGGCGGTGGCATTAGTGGTGCTGCTTTTCGTCACGACCGAAGGTCTTCGTGAGCGCGGTGCTCAGGTGAGTAAAGAATTTGCCATAAACGAGCCAACTCCGCACAAAGATTACATTTAGATAGAAGTGAAGAAGTTAATTACGTTTAATGAACAATTTCGGTTGTTTTAGCGTTATGACTTCATGCTCGTTAACAGTGCGGTAAATATTGTTACTAGAGCGTATGAAATCTCTAGGTTGCATACATTTTGTTACGTAATAGCACATCGAGATATTATTCAATGATTATAAATATTACACTGTATTAAATAAATGTGAAGGATGCTGATAGGACAATGGAATTGCTTTTTATCACGTGCGTGTATGAATGATTTGGCGATTCCACTTTTAATTAAGAGCTCACTAATTAAATCAATTTATTTTTATTCGGTACTTTTTTTTTAATCGTGATATTCAGTTCGTATTACACACTTGTAGTGAAAGTGACAATTCAAGAAACTTTCAGAATTATCATTTTGAGAATATATTTCAGTGACACAAAATCTTATTCATTTATCTTCACAATTTGGCTAATCAGCTTTCCCTGATTTGTAACACTATGTTATATTCGACAAATACAAATATCTTATTGCAGATTTTATAGAAGTTATTTTCAATCACGTCGTTTCTTTGATTAATAAAATAATCTCTAATTATTTCCATTTTGGAAAACACATGTCATTTTCATTCAAATAAGTGTGCGATGTGTTCATTCATTTCATTTTAGAAAGGTGAGCGATCGTATTTTCTATAATACGTTATCTTTCTAAATTTCTTATTTAAACGTCCCCTCAGAATGTTCATTCGTCATACGAACGTCTTATTACAATTATCTATCCGCGATACTCTTCGGCAACGCGATTTTTTTTCCCTTCAAATCGTCGATTCTATATGGTGTCAAGGATACCATATTGCAGGTATCGTGCCTAGCATGACAGTGTTAATTTATTTTTTTCTCGTTTTCTTTCCCGCGAAGGCTACCGCGCCACTGGAACGGATCAATCCTTATAATTTGAATACGTCGCGTAATCAAACTTGCGTATGGATAATTAACGATCGAGGAAGCGAGTTATTTGTAAGAATGGCCCGTACCGGGGACAGCGATTCGAAAAGGAAATCGCGGACGGTTTTATCGTGCGACGCGTTCCTCCGCTTCCTGTCGTTAGGTCGCATCTCCAGCGTGCCCGTTTCACCGTTTCCCGTTCATCTCCGACGCGCGTGACGTTAACTTAATCGCGTCACGCGATTTAGCAAGGATATCAATCGAATGAAATCTTCGGCATCGCGTGAACCCGGCGCGAAAAAACCCTCGTTGGCAAATCCGGGATCGGATGTTGGCAGTTTTCGCTTACGTACGTACGTATGAGCTGTTATTTCGAGGCTGTTCGAACGTAGAAAATGATCGGGCCGTGATCGGCCGAGAGGAGGCAGAGACGAGAAAATTGTAACTAGAAAAGAAGTTAATTATATTGCTTAGGAGATCGGTATACGACGTTCGTTTCTCGATAGAAAGCGACTGGGATCGATGAATTCACTTTCCATGAAATGAGCTGCCTCTCGTTTCTTTTTTTTTTCTTCTTTCGTCTTTCTCAATTTTTATTTCATTTTCTCTGATAAAAAGATCGAGTTGGTGGCACTTCTTTCTGCGGTGGTTTCTATCGTGATTGCTATCGATAATTTAATTCCGAGAGTCTTGATATTGTTCTGTGATTCGGCAATTATGATTAGAAGTAGTTCATCAGGTTATTTTGAATAGTAGGAGTCGAACATAGTACGATGTTTGAAGTTTATAGTATTAAAAGTTCGGACGTGAAATGTGTGTGAAATACATAAATCTTTTAATATCGTAATAATTTCCTTGCTTAGAATATTTTAGTACAATGTATATAGGAAATGAATATTTTCTTTAAATTTTTGACCTTCTTTTAGGAGTGATAGTTTACTTTAATTATATCGTTGATTTGAAAGGTTAAGACTTTTTTGTTTGTTAATGATCTACAATCTGGAATAAAAGCGTTCGAATATTTTATAATGTACATGGATCTTTTGATATAACAGTGATTTTCTTACCTAAAATATTTTAATATAGTATACATAGAAAATATAGTATACATAAAAATAGTCAATCACCAAAAAGTATTGGAAAATCAACGTATAACGAAATATTAAGTATAACGACGTATAAAAGTAAGTATATAATATATATTTATTAGTAATTTATTACTGTGAAGTATATAATATATATTATATATATAATATAATATATAAGTAAGTATAAAACACAAATACAGTAAAAGTTAAACTTTTGGCCATGTCGCTATACGCTCAATGGAAATTTTATTCGAAATGTGTGTATATTCCAAGCTTATAAATATAACGTAGAAAGTGATTCTGATTTATGAAGCGGTTATAATACTTGAGTAAAATTTACACGTAACTCCAGCGCGTTTTGCTTTCAAATTGTGGCCGACGTTCACGAATAATCGCAACGAGAACGAATATTCTTTTGTAACTTCAAAATCTACGTATCATATAACTAAACCGCGGAATTTTATGCGAGATATAAATTTATAGGAAATTCCGGAATGCAAAATTGCACGAAATATAAAAAATACTACATAAAAGTATGATGCTTTCTACAATATTTGTTACGTACAATAATTTTTTCTCTGTTCATTCAATTATTTACCCAAAAATATTGTTTTATGGTTAAATTGAAAACCAATTTGTTCTAAAGTTATTTCGTAATTTTCTAAACCACATTCCCGAAAATACGAATCTGCAAAATCCGCGGTAATAAGGAGAAGAAGTAAGGAGATCGTCGTTGAATCGATTTATCGATGCTACGCGCTGTGCAATCGTAACGAGCATCATCTCGGACGTTCCTTCGCCGCAAAGGTTATCGAAACGTGTTGGCTAGCTGAAAAAATGACAGCCACGGATCCTTTCATCGTTCAGCAAAGTCACAAGCGTGGTACTTGGCCACGTGTCCGCGATTGGAAAGTTTTAATCTGTGGGAAGTAACGGGGACCCGCTGTAAACGTTGCGCTAGATGCATTTCAGGTGTTCGCTGGGTCACTCGTGGAAGAAAGGGGAAAGGGAAATATAAGTACCTATTACGTTACATTTATTAAAACACTCGACTTTTATTGCACGATTAAGCTTTATTAGAATATCGAATTTTTTTACGTTTTTTTTTTTTCTCTAACGATCGAAAATACCGATTTTTGTCCTTTTACACCCACACGCACGACGGTGGTGCGTGTAAGATTTTTATAATTAGATTTAGTTACATTGGGTTTAATTTAAATAAATCTCTACGTACGAGAAAGCAAATTTCTAGCCAATTTTAGGAAATCTTCGATAACTTTGAACAATTTTCAGAAATCTCAGCATAGTTCAGCGAATTTCATGTAAATTTTAGTAGAACTTTAACTTCAAATTAATTTCAATTGATTCAATTTCATTGAATCATATGCTCGTTCGATCGAAATTTCGAAATTTCAATTCTAATGAAGAAAACTTGCCCTTCCAGTAATTGATAATCAAAGATGTTAAACGTGTATGCAGATATTACAATCGTTCGATTATTCACCCTTTCGTGCTCAAATCAATTCATCACCGCCGTGTTCGAGGATTAAGCGATGAATCTCAATTACCTGGATCATTTCATATATCAAATGTTTGAAACTTCGATCGAACTCTCGTCGCATTAATACCATGAACCATTCCATCGATCAAAGTCCGTTCTAGTTCGAATTGGACATCGATATCTCGTCCTTTCGAAATTACTTCTCTATTCCACCCCATCTCGCAGAATCATTGCTGAAACGTTTCGCTTCGCCCACATAAATACCGAAATCGCCGCTACGTTTTCCTTCCATTACGATATTGGTCGGATCACAGTTGAGTGTAATCCGTAACTGGCGCCACTGGCGGATATCTTATCACTAGATCGCGAACTTCAGAAGCATTTCTAGAAAATTTAGAATCGCAGAAATTGCGCAGTATATACAGACAACGCGAAGAAGAACATACAAAATATTTAAAGTTCGACGTTCTCGATAAGTATTTGCGTGACGCGTCAAAGGATTTTCTACCGAGGTTTTGTTTTTTTTTAAAAATTATATATCAAAATGTACGAATCTGCATAAAAATACACCGTCTGTTTATTATACATCAGCGTGGGAATATTGAAAAGCTGAAAGAGAAGGGAAAAAAAAAAGGAGAAACAAGTCTCTATTTAGATTTCAAATTTTCAGTTTTCAGTTAAGAACTGAAGTCGGCTGCCTAATTACTTTGAGACCAGTTAAATGCCGGATTATCGGTGCACGCAACAGCTCGTGGCATGTTCTTATTAAAATTATACCCAAAAGCAACAATTGCTGCGATCCGACAGTCCACGTGTTGAGCCGAAAATCGTGGAAACACCAGCGGATTGCATTACTTATGCGTTATGTGCACGAACGAGCCCGCGAATGTGATCGCGGTGCTGAAAAGTGACTCGATGGCAGATAGCTGAGAGAATACGGACAGAAATGAACGCGGAGGAGAAGAAAGGAAGAAAAGAGAGCTGCAGGTCCGCGTGGACCACGCCTAGTCGTGCGCCGCCGATCTCTCGTGGCAAATAATACATCGGGTGCTCGTAAATTTTGCGCTTTTCCACTCGCTCCAGATATTTTCGCATGACGAACCATGTGCGAGACAGCTAGGTCTTGGCCTGTTGGATCGCTGAACGAGAGTAGAGAGGGTTCAACCGGACGCGATTATGCGTGTCATTGGACGGTGACATTGTTTCGAGTTGCAGCCGTGATGGAAAAACTCTCCGAGTTTTACGTTTATCTCAGAATTTAATATATCAAGCTCATTTAACTCACTTGTATCTCTCACGTATCTTTCTTTTCTTTTTTCTTTTTGTGGAGAGCGAGGAATATGCAAATGATTTTACATACTAAGATCTACGTGTATTTTAATGATATCCGTTGGATTATAATACTTCCTTAGGCTCGAGAAGAATTTTATGGGAA